TTGTGGTTGGTTGGGTGTGTGGAGGGTTTAGGAAGGTGTGGTGTTTGTGGTGGTGTGTGTCGATGTGCTATTGTGGTGTGTGGTGTGTGGTGATGTGTGTGTAAAGGAAGGTGTGGTGGTGTGTGTGGTGTGGATGTGCTATTGTGGTTGGTTGGGTGTGTGGAGGGTTTAGGGAGGTGTGGTGGTGTGTGTGATGTGGATGTGCTAATGTAGTTAGTTGGGCGTGTGGAGGGTTTAGGGAGGTGTGGTAGTGTGTGTGGTGTGGATGTACTATTGTGGTTGGTTGGGTGTGTAGAGGATTTAGGGAGGTGTGATGGTGTGTGGGGTGTGTTTTATAGAAAAGTCACCGTGTCTTCTGCCCTAAACAACTCTTGTGCCCCGCTCGTCCTCATCCCGCATTTGCTCTTCTTCCTTCTCTTTGTTCCCCGACATCTGTGAGGAAACTGGACGTTTGCTTCTTCTTCCGGTATCCTGTATCCCTTATCTTCGTAGCCGCATTGGTTTGTACGCTTTCTTCGTGGATTCACTTGATGGGTTTCTTGTGTTCTGCATATCACCAAATTTTTTAGATATTTTGACTTTTTGAGAGTTTTACATTCGATATTGCGGCGGTTTCGACTGCTGATGCTTCGATTTTAATTTTTGTGATGGATTTGAATCAATGCTAATGAAGAAGAGGAGGATTGGTGTGGTCGGTTTCAGCTGTTGTTTATGTTTTATGCATCTATGAATTTCTTTGTTTTTAGTGTGGTGGGGTGTTGGAATTGTTTTTGGGTTGTTGTTTTTGTGGTGAGGTTTGCATCTGTGAATGGTTTTGCTCTATTGTGTGGTGGGTTTCGGGTGTTGTTGGAATGAAGGATTTGTGGATTGTTGGGTTGTGGGGTGTGGGATTTGTGTTGGCCCGTGTTGGATTGTTGTCCTGTTGTGTTAGCCAGGGGGTGCATCTGTGGTGGGGTTTGCAGCCGTGAAAAGCAGGTGTTGGATTTGTTATGGTGTGTCGTGGTCCTGTGGTGTGGTGGTTTGTTGTGGTCTATATGGATTTGGTGTGGTCATGGGGTAAGCAATAAGCAAGTATATTTGTCACATCCTTAAAGTAGCTAAAATTCATATTGTTGTAATGTGAGTATTGCAAAGAAAAGGATTTCAATTGTTTTTAATCCCTTCATTAAACATTTCCGAGCAAATGTCGAGAACCTTAAGGCATAAGGTGTGGTGGGGAGGTGGGGAGGTGGGTGGAGTGTGTAATGGTGTATTGTGTGGATGTGTTGTTGTGGCGTGGTGTGCAGATGTGGTATGTTGGTTGGTTGGGTGTGTCGAGGTGTGTGGAGGTTTTAGGAAGGTGTGGGTGTGTTTGGGGGTGTGTGTGATGTGGATGTGCTATTGTGGTGTGTGTGATGTGGATGTGGAGGGTTTAGGGAGGTGTGGTGGTGTGTGATGCGGATGTGCTATTGCAGTTGGTTGGGTGTGTGGAGGGTTGAGGGAGGTGTGGTTGTGTGTGTGGTGTAGATGTGCTATTGTGGTTGGTTGGGGGTGGGGTGGAGGGTTTAGGATGTACTATTGTGGTTGGTTGGGTGTGTGGAGGGTTTAGGAAGGTGTGGTGTTTGTGGTGGTGTGTGTCGATGTGCTATTGTGGTGTGTGGTGTGTGGTGATGTGTGTGGTGTGTGTGTGTGTGGTGTGTGCATGTGCATATATTATTGCATTTTTATTTGTGTAACATTATTTTTTTCATCATAGTAATACATGGTTAAGACCACAGAGAAGTGGAAAAAAAATAAAAATAAAATTTTGTGACATTTTCCTCGAGAAGATTGATCTGAGAAATATGCCTACAACCTATTTCAACAAGGAATGGTAACAAAATATTATCAGAAAATTCAAGGAAATTACAGACAGAGAGTACGATATGATGCACTTAAAGAACAAGTTTGATTAGCTAAAAAAGGATTGGAAATTTTGAAAAAAAATTGAAATAAGGATCAACTGGGCTTATAGTGAGATCCGGTGAAGCAAACCATTAATGCTTCTGAGTGGTGGGCATGAAGACTTGTGGTAAGCATTTTTGACATGTCCCCTAATTTGGTCAATTTCATTTTGTTTTAAAGTTGAAGTAGATGTTATGAATTTGTAGGTGTGGTGCATGTTGCAATAAAATTTAAACTCAGTGGACTCGATCCTGAGTTGGAGAGGAAGTTGGATCGAATGTTTAGGGGTGTCGTCGCTATGGGCAAAAACGCATGTGCCCTAAGTGAGACAGTGTTTGGTGGCACCCCCGAGTACTTGAGAGTCGACCAAGCTGGTGATTCCACCGAAGTCCCTAGCCCCAGACGTCCATGAACTTGAGTCGACCTGCTATTCTAAGCATCTGTGGGTTGAGAATAAAAAGAAAGTTGAACGGTTTTCCTTAGAAGTTAGATATCACAGCAGATGACATCATACAGCGCTGAACCCCACACATCTCAAGCAACTTTCGACGACCAGATCCTGCAAATTATGAATGGAATTAGGAAAATTTATGAGGATTTGCCGGTGTACTTATTTGTGATAGAGTTGCCTGAAGATTCGACCCAAAGAGATTTTTTTATCAAGATGCCCGATGACAGTGGAGTGGCGTACCTATGACAATTTTATAATTGCAGAAACATTTGAGATACATTTTTTTATTTACAATCGCTTGAGATATTTATATTTGTTTATTATTTTTGATTTTGCTATGAATATTTCAACTGCTTAGGACATGACTTATTTAGTGATGCTTATATGTTTATTGTATTGTTCGTAACCTTATATTATTGTAGCTAATTCATTGATGCTTCTGTGTTAGCCAGTACGATACTGATCTATATGGATGCAACCAGAGAATGATGCATAAGGAGAGTTGTAACTATCTGTAGCTATCGTATGTTTGATGTACGAATATTATAACTCGTACATAGATCGCTCCCTTGCATGACATCCTCATATGTTGAGGACAAATGGGTTGGGGAGTTACTTTCAGGCCACCCAACGAGATTTAGCAATATGCACAACATGACACAGACGGTATTCAACGATTTATTTGACGAACTACACAGAAATCATGGACTTCATGGCCTTTTCAGAATGACTTCACGAGAGGTGTTGGCGATAAACCTCTATATATTATCGCAAAATGAATCAATGCAAGGAGAAATGGACAACACTCCGAAATAATTTGCAGATACTTCTTCGTGAGGCTGAAGGCATTTGTGAGTTTTTATTCTCAAGTCATAAAATTAACAAATCCTAAGTTCGAACGACCCCCATAGAGATTTCACACGATTCACAGTATATGTCATTCTTTAAGTTTAAAGAAATGTCTTAAATTTATTATATTGAATTTTGAAAAAAACAACATTATTACGTAACCCATTGTTATCTTTTCAAATTTGTATTAAACAATCGATGGAACGCATATTGATGGCACATGTTTCAAATAATGAGAAAATCTCATTCATCGATCATTGCGGGTCCCCGACACAGAATGTCATGGACGTATGTGACTTCAACATGTGCATCACTTTTGTCATGGCCGGTTGGGATGACAGTGCACATAACAATTAAATTTTCAATGTTGCAACACAGATGGATTTGAAAGTTTCATGATGAGATATTTGACCTTATAAGTTCTTCTGGATTGTCTGTTTGTTGGTATTGGTTGGTGTTACATGTGAAATCCTATTGAAGGCAATCAAGTTCCTCTTTTTTTTTACGATATGTTTTTTTGAGGTTCTTTTGGATGGTTTTTCTTGGTGCTATGCATATGTGACACACACAAGCTTGGGATTACGTAGTTTAAAAGCAATCAAGAACTCATTTTTCACAAGGTCTATTGTTTTCTTGTGGTGACAAATTCATTAGTTGATATACTGAGTTCTCTGAGACCTCACACCCGCACAAAACCATAATTAATTACTTCTTTTATCAATTTCAACTTGTGTTATATGACCAATGAATTGTCTTTTAAAGCATTCAGCAAAGATGAGCTCTAGGATTTCTAGGACCTCCCAAGGATTGTTGTGCCACCATGGACTTCAAACTTCCCAACTGACGCTACGTTAGCCACATAACTACGGGAGGGTTCTACAGGTGCCCGCAAAAAATACGAACAAGTGTAACTTC